TGGAGAGAGGAGCTTTCTTATTCCCCATTAACAAAAAGAAGAGCTTTCTTATTCTAAAGTGAAGGATAGAGGACATGGCTTATTCCTTGTTAACAAATGGAAGAGCATTCTACGCCCTTATTCAAAAAAACAGAAGAGCTCTCCTATTCCTCATTAACAAATAGATAAGCTCTCTTTTCTTTATGAACAAATAAAGGAGCTTTCTTTTTTATTCAAAAATAAAGGAGGTTTCCTACTCTTTGTTCATGGATAGAGGAGCATTCTTATTCTTTATTATCAAATAGTAGAACTTTCTTACTCCTCTTAAAAGGATGGAGGCACTTTCCTATTCTTTATTCATGCGCAGGGGAGGTGTCTGATTCTTAAATGTTCAAGAACAGAACTGTCTGATTCCTTTTTAAGATATGGAGGAGCTCTCCTATTCCTCGCTAACGGATAGAGGAACTCTCCTGTTCTTCATTAGAAAATCTAGGATTTCTCTTCTTTTCAAATAGAAAGCTTTCTTTTTCTTTATTCAAAAAATGAAGCAGCCCAATCCCTATTGTAAACCACTGGACGGGTCACATTAGACGTAAAGGTCCCTGCCTCATATATATATATATATGGGTTATCTTGGGGTTGTCTTGGGATAATGGAATATGGAAACGGATACTACTGTTCAGGGTCTAGGGTTGAGGAACTTGAATTAAGTTACCATAATGGGTATATATGGTGAATAATAGGGTCTCCCCAAAAATTTAGTAACTTAGATTAAGGTCCTTAACAGCAACCCAGTTTATGTAGGCTTTGGGGTTTAGTGTTTCGGGCTAAGGGTGATGCAGAGGCACAGGAAAGCATTTAGTTTACAATGGTTGTCGAAATTTTGCAGGGTTCCCCTACCATCTCCCCCATTAAGACCCCCCTCTCTACTTTATTTTTTTCAGAAAGACGATCCCAGGATCTCTTAGGTAAAGACCCTTCTAGCATTAGCCCTAATTATCCCTGGAGGAACCCTAAACCCTGCCTTCAAGGGGCGGGCAGTAGGGGAACCCATGAAAATGTTAAGGTCAACTTCTTCAGAGGGTGGATGCTTTCGCGAGACCGTCAGCCTGAGCCCAAGATGTCCAAACTGTTTAGGGTTTGGTGTTCGAGGTTTGGTGTTTAGGGTTTGGGCAAACACTTGCAATGACTGGTTTAGGGTTGGGGGTTTAGGGCTTGGGCTTTGAAGGGCTTAGGCTCGTCTACGGAGTATCTAGAGCATAAACAAATTATGGAGCATGGAAGAGAAGATTCAAAGTACTAGGAATTATGACCTTTATTGTTGTATGAAGGCCCTATTCAGAAATTGTGTTTGGGGCCTTCACAGTATCACCCTGAGACGCCCTAAACCCTAAATTCCCACCCAGCCTGCTTAGGCCGCACGCCCCCTTCTCGAGAGTGCCTGCACCCGGCAGCCACTCACACCATCGCTTGGAGCTACTCTGCAAGCCTAAAAAGTGTTGTAGAGCGCGAGCTGCACCTCCAGGTGCCCGCGCAGTAGCCGCGCCTAGGGACCTTTTTCTCCTTTCCTATCATTCACACGTATAATCGCAGCAACCTTCTTGCTTTGGAAAAGCCCCTCGAGGCCCAAGCTTGGCCTTACTGGAAGCCCGAGGAGGCCGCCTTGGAGGGCTCGCCTGCGGGCCGGCGGAACCCGAAAAGGAATGAAGTTGGGCGGATGCCAACACACCGATTCCTGGTTTGGTGGGCACGAGAGATGTGCCGTCGCAAGGTATGCCGCCCCCGCACCCATGGGCGTATTGGGGCGCCATTTTTACATTGCCCCTCCAGCCACCGCGCAGCGACGCCCTAAACCTTAAACACTGAACCTGGGACCCTAAACCCTAACATTGCTGGCATGAGGCACACATTTTTCCACCTTGCTTCCACTGGAGAGTGCTGCCTGGGGCTCAGGTCGTCGGATCCCATACTGTTTAGAGTTTAGAGTTTGGTTTAGGGTGTATTGTTATACTGCACTCTTTCTACTCCCCTCCATTTTGAAAAGTCTAGATAAGCCCTACTGAAACTCTATCTGGGGTTCATTTCGGGGAGGGGGAGCCAAAGTAATTACCAATATGACGGTACTAGGCGCCTTGCATACTTGTGACATAGGGTACCTCAAATAGACCTCAACATTATGCTGGCAATCATTTAGGCCCTTACATTCCTTCGTATCATCCCTACAGAATCCCAGTATTATCTTTTCTGTTTGATTCTCCGTTATTCCCCGATATAATCCATTATAATGCCTATTGCATTCTCGGCCGATGCTTTTGTGATCTTTTTGGCCAGGTCGAAGCAAAGCTCCCCCTCACCGCGTTGGTGGCCCATGTGCCACCCATGATCAGTTCTTTGGCTTCAGCAATTGAAGTTCAGGGTTGAGGGTTTAGGGATTTAGGGTTTAGAGTTGCTCATGAGACGAACTAAACCCAAAACACATTGGGATAGACTTGCTCAAAGCTTCATATAAACCCTACATAACCTTTATGCCCCTATACGACTGCTTAGCCAGTTGATTGGGATTTAAGGGGAGACGTGTGCTTGAGGTGCGCTGTTGTCCGCAGCTGCGTTGAGGATGAGACCTTCGGAGGCCGAGTAACTGGCACCCAGCTTGCCAAAGGGTCCATTTGGGGGTTTACGGTTAGGGCTATATGGTCTACATTTATACAGTATATAACGCAGTATCAAGTGGAACAGAACATGGAAAGGAAGGGGAAGCTGAGTGGAAAGAGGGGTTTTACAAGTTATATCGTATACACTTGGGGCCCTTTAGGTGCCCTTAAGTAGGTATATGGAGAATAGATTGGGCCCTGAGTATATGTTATATCCCTACGTGGACGGACCCCTGCGCTTTGATCGTCTAAACGAATCAAATTCCATCCCCCCAGTAATATTCCCCTACCCCGCGATTCCTCCTGAACTATAATGGTACCATATTGGGGGGGAGGTATTATTGTTATTGTTGTTGTTAATACTAATACTAGGGGGAGGGGATTAGTTGCGCATCAGGCTTTGTTGCTGATTGTGCCCTCTTTGGATGATGTGGCATTCCTCTTGCAGCGGCTGCTTATCGGCCGGGGCCTAGTCTGCTGTGTCAGCTTTCGACAGCGATGCCCTAAACCCTGAACCCTAAGGTGTTTGGCGCGGACCCCTCTACTTGATTCTTCTCTCTTGCACAGCTCCCTCGCGCCGCGATATTCAGCCACCCTGGCAAGGACTTGTTTCTCCAGCTGCAACTGCTTCAGAAGCAATCGTGAATCAGTGCTGAAATGAAGGCTCCTTTTGGGATACCTTGCATAATATGCCGCACATTAAGACGGGGGCCCCCAAGCCCTAAACCCCAAAATCCTCAACCTAAAACCAGAATGATTTAGAACACCATTCCCAGTCAAGTCATGTTGTTCAGGCTTTGGCAAAGATTGGAGAACTTGTGAAACATGCCTTGCCTGGTATGCCAGGCAACATCCGTTGTTACAGCCACTGGTTCCTTCTGCAGGCGCGTGCTTCGTAAGCTACAGCCCTGGAAGCTAAATTCTGTTGCCACCTTTTGCCTCCCCTACATGAACCATAATATATAGTCCCTCTTAAGTAGATAGAATATGGGGTATATGGGGATCTTGTTAAATTATGCCCAAAGCCATATTCTATTTACTTAAGGGGGACTATAAACTCCTTCAAGGGGGTTGTATAAGGAAGATTATATAGGAGACTACTCCAGAGGTTGTTAAGAGGCATACTAGGAGTTTGGTCTGTAGCTCATATCGCCCCATTGTCCATTTCAGTTTCCATTTCTCTTTCAGCTGATTCTCGTTTGCAATGCTCTTCCTGAAGAGAACCTACCTGATACAGGAGTTTGGTCTGTAGCTCATATCGCCCCATTGTCCATTTCAGTTTCCATTTCTCCTTCATCTGATTCTCGATTGCGGTGCTCTACCTGAAGAGAATCTGATACAACCCTGCACGACCCCCTTATAGCCCCTGGGTAACAGTAGCCCCTATATAATCCTATATACCCCTACACAACCCTGTACAACCCCAAAACCCCAAACCTACACCCCAAACCCTAAACTCCAAATCCCCAAACCCTAAACCCCACACCCCAAACCCTAAACTCCTAACCTTAAACTCGACAGCCCAAACCCTAAATCCACCAAACCCTAAACCCTATACCAGATGTGAGGTGGGAGCTTCCTAGATGACATGGTTTGCATCTCCGTCCAGGAGATTTCCTTACTTAGCCGATGGAAGAACTTTAAAGTGGTAATATAGGGATGATACAGGGTAATATACGGATAGTATAGGGGTAATATAAAGGATAATATAGGGATGATATAGGCGTACTTAGCCAATGGAAGAACTTTAAACTTTTAGGCCTTCCCTATTTGGTCTTTATATTAAAGTTGAACTTATTTGGCACTGGTTATTGGGGAAGAGAGTTTCTATCCTAAAGGCAGACTGTTCACGAAGTAGGCTCTCATGGAAGTATAGCCGTATATAGGATTGAGTTTAGGGTTTAGGGCTTACATAGGGATTGCATGGAGAATCAAATGGACAAGAACATGGACAATTAAATGGCTCTCATGTAACTTACCTTTGGTCAGCAAGAAATCAAAAAGCGGACCTTTTCAAGCCACTATAATATGGTCCGCAATAACAAAGTGATGTCCGTTTCTTTTGCATTTCTCCATTCCATGCTAACCAGAGGTAAGGCACCCTAATCCCTATAAACCACCATATAGTCACAGTCTCCATGTCATTTTGCATTTGATTCTCCATTATTGCGTTACTATCCTTAAACTCGAAACCCTACATAGTAGTTTCCATGTTCTTTCCCGTTCCCCTCTACGCAATCTAAAGTCCCTACATATCCCCTGATATTCCTAAACCCCAAACCCCAAAACCCTAACCCTATGCTCCTAAATCCTAACCTTAAAACCCAAACCCTAAAACTCTAGCCGTATATTCCGAAATCCTGAACCCTAAAACCCAAGCCCTAAAACCCTAACCTTATATTCCTAAATCCAAAACCTTAGAACCCAAACCCTAAAACCATAACCTTATATTCCTAACTCCTAACTAACCCTATATTCCCGAAATCCTAATTAAACAGCTGGCGAGGATCGCTCTGAGGGCTTGGCACAAGCTCGGATGCAGCTGGCAGTGGTGCTGGAAGATATCATCACAGAGGCTAGGGTTTGGGGTTTAAGGTTTAGGGTTTACGGTTATATGGGGTTTTACAGAGATTATAAAGTGTTATACAGGGTCAGGTAGGGTACCATAATGGAGAAACAAGTGAACCATCGGTACTTTTTCCGACTCCCCTCATGTCTAGACCCTAAACCCCTAAACCTACACCCCTAAGCCCTAAAGCGCTAAACCCTTATTGCTGTCAGTGACAGGTCGTGACCGGCACGGGGGGGCTGGGCGTGGAGGCAGTTCTTGCCTTGGACGTGGACCTCTGCCCCGAGAAGGAATCTGGACTGGTGAAGATTTCCTGGTGGTTATTTGGATATAAGGGTTCAGGATTTTAGGGTTAAGGTGGTACTTACCTTCTCTGCTTTGCCGGAAGAGTGGAAGGGGGCCGTACTGACTTTTGCTGGTTTGTAGAGATTGGGTGCTCGGGGAACTAATGTTTCTCGGGTGCTGCGCACGGCTTGCGAGCTTTGCAGCTTGCCACGAGTGCGAGTTGTGGAGGCTGCAGGCTGGAGACACGTCAGAGGTCCTCCTTCAAAAAGGGTTTTGGGTTTAGGGAAGGGAGTAATTAAGAGATTAAAATCCCTATATAATCCCTCTATAATATTCCCTTTAATACTAACTTCCAGTAAGAAGTAATGCCTTGGATGCTGCTCGCCAACCCACATCCTATGCATTTCGAGGACCGCATTCCGGAGCTCTCCGAGGACCTTGACGCTGCATGCGTGGCCAGGGGCGCAGACAAACGTTGGATACGGCCCCCACGCGCTAACAGCCGGATAAATAATTTGATGATGTATGACCCCTGTCATAGGCGGACAAATCATGGGGGCAGGACCCAAGACAAACGTGCTTTCAACATGCACAGATGCTCATGCCGCGGACATGTATGAAAACTTTCAAGGCCCTGGAGCCCACTGAGTCTCCTCCATCAATACTTCGCGCACTTATTGGAGTGCCTGGGCAAGCATTTCATGCCAGCACAGCAATGTTGGAGCTGTAGCAAAGCACCGCCATTTTGACATTTTCTTGGATCCAAACCCTAAATCCTAAGCCCTTAACCCTAGGCCCTAAACAACCCGAAATCGGAGCTGCAGGCACTTGCTGTCCGGGGACGGTTGATCACGAATTGTGAAAGGCAGCGCTCTGACCAACAACGCAAAAACCACAAGACCTGTGGCCAGGAAATATATATATATATGTATGTATATAAATATATATATATATACATACGGGCTGTTTAGGGTTTAGGCTTTAGGGGTTCCCAAAATTAAGGGTACCTTCTTGGGGGTGCCAACCTTATTTGGTCAATTACCATGTATTGCAGCTTGGAATCTTATGGATATCGGTACAATAAGGGAATATGCTATGTAAAGATTGTAGAGGTAACCATCAGCAAGAGAAGCTAGTAGAAGCCCCAAACCCCAAAGCGCCTAAACCCCTGAACCCTAAACCCTTATATTGCCCCTTAAGTAGATAGAATATGGCTTCGGGTATGTTATAGTAAGATCCCCATATACCCCGCAGTCTATCTGCTTAAGGGGGACTGTAAACCACTAAACCATGCACCCACATTTTGCAGCTTGGAACCTCTGAGAGGCTTGAGCTTTCGCCAGATGATGGGCATCACCTCTGGGCTAAGGAGTGGCCTAACTGAATTCATGTGAATAATTTGGGTTTAGGGTTTTAGGGCTTTAGGGGTTTAGGGTTTAGGGGTCTAGGTTGGGTACTGCCCCCACCCAGTAACGGTCTATATTAGGGGTCCTATTAAGGGCCATATATAACTATATTATACTCATTATCCAACTGTTACTGAGGGGGGGGGGGCAGTACCCAATGGGTACATGGGTAGTATCGGGGTTATGTTGGGATAATGGAAAAGAAAATGGAAGCTACTATTTAGGGTTTGGGGATTTGGGGTTTAGGGTTTCGGGTAGTATTTTATTGGGGGAGACGATGGTACCCAATATAGAATAAGATTATATCCTCCTTTTGGGGTATAGTATTATATATAAGGAAGACAATCTTATTGTGTTGAACCACCAAAAAAGCTGAATTCGTGTCTTACTGGGAATTGGTAGGGAATAAGGAATATACTATTTAGGGTTTGGGGTTTAGGGAATAGATTAGACAAGGGTCCTAGAGCTTATAGATTCTGGGGATTAGTAGGGGATAAGGATTATTGCGGGATTGGGGTTTAGGGAATTGTTTATACAAGGATTCTAGGGATTCCATTCCCTTACTCCCTACTGACAACCGGTAAGGTGTAGGTATGAAAATCAGCACATCGAGTGCCCTGATGGCTCCGACTGTAGGCCAAGGCCATAAACCTCAACCCCTAAACCCTAAAACTTTAAGCCCTAAATCCCTAAACCCTAAGCCCTGAATCCTTAAACCCTAAGCCCTAAGGACATGGTAAGAGCTAAGGTGCACTTTGGCCTTTGTGAATCCCCATTGCTTGCCTGGCTCCCAGCACTCCTTGCAGCTATGAGTGCTTTGGTTTAAGGGTTCAGTGTTTATAGAGATAAAGGGGGTTATATTACCCCCAATAATGGAGAATCAAATGGAAAAGAAAATGGAAAATGAAATGGAAACTGGGATTATAGGGTAGTTAATGGGGATTAGGGGTTATTTGAGCTCTAGTCTAAACTCCTTAAAGGGGGTTATATAGGGGATTATATAAGGGACTACTATATGGGTTATTAAGGGGGATACTAGGAGTTTAGACAATGGCTCATATAGGGATACTAGAAAATAGAATGGAAACTACTATAATGGGCTTTATAGGGTGTCAGGGTTTAGGGTATTAGAGTGGATGAGCAAGCTCATAAACCCCATATATCTCCAGATTCCATGTAATTTCCATTTTCTTGTCCACTTAATTCTCCACTGTTGATGTAATATCCCTATACAGCCCCATTCAAGGCCGATATGGCACACATATAATCCTACATATCCCTATGTGTACTCTAGTCTAAACTCCTTAAAGGGGGTTTATATGGGGGACCACCTAGGGCTAGGAGTGTAGACTAGCTCATGTAATCCCGATATGACCCCCAAACCCTAAACCATGAACCCTAAACCCTTAACCCTAACCCCTAAACCCTTAACCCAATCCCAGGGATGAGGAATGCCCCGCCAAGGCCACTCTCTGGAAGTCGCCATGGTGAGCTGCTCCATGCAGCAGTGGAGGTCTGCGCAAAAATTGTGGCAGGCGGGATTAGATGATACTAGGGCTTAGAGCTAAGGATTCTAGGGGAATGGAAAAGGAAATGGAAGGTACACATGTAGGGTTTAGGGTTATTTCGCTTCCTATGCTTGTGGTTCAATTCCTCTGTTTCACATCTCTGCAGCCTAAACTTTAAAACCCTAATTCTAAACCTGTCAAACACACAAAGGGTCTACGTAGGGGACACCTCCAAAGATGCTGGCCTGAAATGGTAACAGCCGATGCTATTGTAATTCTAAATGATTATCTCGAACAGACTTACTAGGCTTCAAACAACTTCTACATAATGCACCCCAATTTCAGCTTGCATCTGGAGACAGCGCCGACACGCCTCGCCAATTCGTTTCCCGGACATGTCGAGAAGTGGAGTTGCGCATGGCAGCAGTATTAAGATTCTAGACCCAAATTGCTAAACTCCATGAGCCTAGCCTTGTGCATCCAGCAGGCGAATTAGCCATCGCCGAGTCGGAGGTTACTCAATTCTGCTGGGCCCTCAAACAAACCTGGCATTTTCCCAAAATGTAGGGTTAAGGTTTAGGGTTCAAGGTTTCCCAAGATTGGGGCTCCCTTTCTGGGGGTCCCTAACAAAGATCCTAGCATGTTGGGGCCTACATCGGGGTTCCTGTTTTGGGGGAAACTACCACCTAGACGGAGTGTGCCGGCTGCTCTGAACCCTAAACCCTGCGGATGCTGCAGATTTGTTCGACCAGTTCCAGCAAGCCATGGATGTCATGAATGCCAAGAAATCGTGGGGATCTTGGGTGTCGGCAGTTCCAGCTACCATAATATGGATATACAGTAGATAATAGGGCTTCCTTTTTATAGTAACCCTAATCCCTACACCTATATTCCTTTCTTATAGTAATTACGAAAGCAATATATATATATAAACAAAAAGTTCCTGAACAGTAACCCAGCAAAAGCTTGCCGGCAGTAGGCAGCCTGTGTAGGCGGCGCGGTGTTCGCAAGCACAGCACCGTTGGTGCGGGGACTCGAAGTGGGCCACTCAAGACGAACGCGACGAGGTTTAGGATTTGGGGACTACTGGCCTTTGGTTAGCTGGAAATTATGGAATGGAAAAGAAAATGGAAACTACTATAAAGAGTTATAGAGGGACTACTAAAGGATCCATTCCTTCATTCCTAGCTAACCAAAGCCCAGACTAATGTAGACCCCTGATTTGTGAACCCCCTTCCTTTTCAGAGCCTTAATATTAGGATCCCTATTATAATGCCTATGAAGGGGAGGGGATTTAATAATCACGGGTCTACATTAGTTTGTTGACTGCTGAGCTTTCATATACCCAAAGCCATATTCCCTACATCCCAAATATACTATAGTAGCTACCATTTTCTTTTCCATTATCCCTATATTACCCCAATATAACCCTAATATGATAGTAGCTTCCATTTTCTTTTCCATTATCCCTATACTACCCCAGTATATATTTGTCAAGGTACGCTGTTGGTGACGCTGGTTCTCTGAAGCGCTTGCAGGTGACTCCGTGGAAAAGACGCTTCAAAAGGTTGCATATAGGGGTTTCCCAAAATTCGGTGTACCTTTTTGGGAGACCCCATAATAAGGATTCTTGTATCTTGAGGTCTATATTGGGGTGCCCTTGTTTAGGGAAACTATCATATATTCTTGCATGCCTGGAGGGCGGTGGGGGTTTGTTGCAGCCAGGAAGCTCTCCAATTGTTGATGCCCGCAGACTGAATTGCACAGCAGCGCGTTGCCAACATTCCAGGTGAATCTTGACTCAATGAAATCTATGTACTGTTGTCATGATTGAATTGCCTGGTGCTGCTAAATTAACATAGGGGATGCCAAGCATTGCAAACCTTCATGTCGCAAACATGGCAGGGGCAACGCAAATGCCATAGCATAGGGAGAAGCCACACCCCAGCAATAGTGAAATAATAGTGACTATAAGTGATAACGGCGATTGTACTAGGGTCGTTTTGTTCCTCCTATACCCCTACTAGGGGGTGGCGGTTCACCTAAGACAGAGTCATAATTCACGCGTCAGAAGCAGACATAGACGTCGCCCGTGATGGATTTGATGGCAGAGTGGCAGCAAATCCATGATGATGAGGCAGGAACCCGACTGAGAACTTCGCTTGTTCAGGGGTAGGTTTGAACAAAGGTTTTTAAGATTCGTTACCTACTTTAACCCCCATGTGAATCAATCCGAATACAACCATAGAATCTAATTTCCACAGGGCCCCCAAATCTACCCCAAACCCCTAAACCGGTCGGTGCGTTTCAAAATTCTCGTGTACATCGCCGAGCCGGGGAAAAGGCCGCCGTGTGGGAGAAAGACCCTGGCCCGGCGACCTCAGAAGGCCTCCCAGTCTCAAGCCCCAAACCCAGAAACGACCTTTAGGGTTTAGGGTTTAGGAACCAACCCTAAACTCCTAAACCCCTCAACCCAAATGTATTATGGTAGCTTCCATTTTCTTTTCCATTATCCCTATATTACCCCTATATACCCCTAATATTACAGTAGCTTCCATTTTCTTTTCCATTATCCCTATATTACTACCTGAACTCCTAAACCCCTAAACCCTAATTGAGTAGTATTCTATTTGGGGACAATATGGTATATATAAGGACTATAATCTTACTAGGTTCAACCACAAAAAAAAGAAAACATTACTCAATTCCTAAACCCGAAACCCAAAACCACTGACAGGAGCTGGCACGTCGGCTGTATGCAGAGGAAATGGCGCAGCTTCAGGCTCGGGCTTGTTGCAGGATGTTAAGGGTTTACAGTCCCCCTTAAGTAGATAGAGTATAGGGCATATGGGGATCTTCTTAACATACCGAGAGCCATATTCTATCTACTTAAGGCGGACTATAGGGGATTAGGGAGGGGGGGAAGGTTAGGGTTTCTGAGTTTAGGGTTTGGGGGTGTAGGGTTCTAGGGATCATATAGAGATGACATACGGCCCCGGAATATTATATAGGGTTATATGGGGATACTATTATGAATGATGACAAAGCATTTTTCTAGGGGTATATAGGGATTTCATAGGGAGACATACGGATGTTTCCCGAATAATGGAGAATCACATGAAAAAAAAATAAAATGGGGACGAGAATGGACAAGAAGATGGAAACTGCTGCATATTAAGGTTTAGAGTTCCGGGGACATTCACCCAGGGACTGCTGTAAAGATCCATTCTCAAGATCTTGGCAAGGGTTTCCGTGGTAGGACCGCACCCAGCACGAGCCGATCAACCTCGACAGCCCCGAGCGCGAGCGGCCAGCGAAGAGACAGCGAACGACAACGAGAGTCTCGGCCATCAAGGGTTTAGGGCTTATAGCCCCCCTTAAGTAGATAGAATATGGGGTATATGGGGATCTTATTATAATATACCCAAGCCATATTCTATCTACTTAAGGGGGACCATTAGTTTGCGAGGTGGGGCCGGATGTACGGGAGCCTACAGCTGGGACATTTGCGGGTGTCCCAGATTTCGAGGGGGGAATTCTAATTTGGGGTCCCTATAGCAAGGATTCTGGAAACCCCCTAGACCCTTAAACCCTTAAAGCCTGAACCCCTAAACCCTTGAACTCCAAACCCTTAAACCCCTAAACCCTTAAAAACCCTAAAAAATCCCCTAAACCTTTAAACCTTTAAACCCCAAACCCCTAAACCCTTCAGGTGAGGAGCTGGCCGCGCTCGACCCCGTTATGGCCGCAAGCGCTGCGCCAGGAGGGGAAGAAGTTGAGGAGATGCAGCTTGGCAGGAATACACGCGGTTTAGGTTGGGTACTGCCCCCACCCAGTAACAGTCTATATTAGGGTTACTATTAAGGGCTAGATATATAACCATATTGCGCCTATTATCCAACTGTTACTGAGGGGGGGCACTACCCAAGGTTTAGGTTTTAAAGTTTAGGGATCAAAGACTTTAAGTTTGTACCCTTAATGTTTGTAGCCGTAGGTTTGGGGTTCCAAATACCCTTGCTAAGGGTCATTCCCAAGCCCGAGGGTACAAACCCCAAGGGTACGAAGGAAAACTCCCTGAAGGAAAGGGTTTGTCAGTATTCTCATACCTTTGAAGTAAGAGAGAGAGAGAGAGAGAGAGATGTATACATATATTTATATATATACATATCGATTTTGCGGTCTTAATTTAGGGCCCGGGCTAGCCGACCAATTTGGAACATACCACATTCAGGGTTGGAAACTATGGAGATTATAAAAGTTATTTTGGGTTTATATTGGGGTTTATTGGGATAATGCAACATAAAATGGAAACTACAGGGATTACAGTGGTTATATTGGGATAATGAACCCTAAACCCTAGGCCCTAAAACCTGTAGGGTTTTAGGGCTGAGGGATCCCCCAGTGCCCTTTTTATTTTCCATTTCCTTTGCCGATTGATTGTCCATTCCTGGGGTAAATATCCTTGTATATCCCTAAATGACCCTACATAGGCCCTATATGGCAAGGTCGTCATTTCAATTTCCATCTTCTTTTTGCATGTAATCTTCCCGTTATTGGCGCAACACCCTAAACTCCAAAAACATTAAACCCTAAACTCCAAAAACCTCTAAACCTAAACCCCAAACACCCCAAACCCTACACCCCCGTCATCCCGGAGGACCCCTAGCTTCCATTTGGGTAGTTCCCAAAATTGTGGCCCCTTTTGGTTACAGGTTATATTTACGGCTCCTAATATTTAGGGGTACCAAAACGGGGACGCTAGTTTTGGGAACTACACATTTGATTTTTCATTTTCCTGTCAAGATCCATTCTAACAGTTTTCACGTTTTGTTCATTCCTTCATCCCTTATGGAATTCCTGTGTAACCTTCATTTCCATTTCATCTTCCTTTTCCATTTGATTCTCCATGACGGTACCCTAAACCTGAAACCTAACCCTATAGTAGGTTCCGTTTCATTCTTCATGCGTTTTTCCGTTTGGTTCTCCAGTATATACCTAAATCCTCAGCCCTTAATCCCAAACCTCAAATCCCAAACCCTGAACCCTAAATCCCAGCCCCTAAAATCCTACATCCTCAACCCTAAACCTTGGATACTGCCCCCACTCACTAACAGCTGGATAATAACTATAAGATGGTTATACCTAATATAGACTGTTACTGGGTGGGGGCAGTACCCAACCTAAACCCTAGGTGGGCGTCCTGGCTCAGGGGGGAGACGCTCCTGGACGGTTTGGAGATGGATTCGGAGGCAAAGGACCCCAAGGCAACAATCTGTGTGTTTAGGATTTAAGGTTTAGGGTTTATAGTCCCCCTCAAGTAGACGGGATATGGGGTACATGGGGATCTTAATGCCCAAAGCCATATTCTATCTACTTAATGGGGACTATAGGGTTTAGGGTGTAGGGTTGCCAAGGTTTAGGGGTGTGCTTGCAGCTTCATGGGACTTAGTCACGACCTGCAATAAAACTGGAACCCTGATGGATTTATCCCGAAATGGATGGTATGCCAGTGAGTCATGAAGTCGTTGCATGTTACAGCGCAGCTTTCCCATTTTAAGATGATAGCCTCGGACTGCTGCTCAGGTGTATGCACTGCATGCAGTCCACGCCCTCATGACCGAGTTCAGAAGAGCCCCCGCAGCAACCATTCGCGCTGCCTTTGAGCAGGCAATGGTCTCACGAAGGGTGAAAAATATTGGGGGAATATTCGGGATATGTTGGGGTTGTATAGGGGTTATGTTTGGATAATGAAGAATAAAATGGAAACTACAGGGATTATAGGCGTTATATAGGGATTATAGGGTATATACTGGGGCTATATTGGGATGATGGAAAAATAATGTGGAAACTACTATAGTATAGTAGGATATATAATGGGGTTTCATAGGGGTAGTGGAAAAGAAAATGGAACAACTACTATGGTTTTAGGGTTAATGCACCTAAACCCTAAACCCTGGCGCGCGCTGTTTTGCACAGGCGGGAACCTACAGCCATGCTCGTTCAACTCTTGAGGCCTGAGGGGCACCATGCTTCGACGCCTGTTCTCAGCGGTGTGGTAAATAGGGTAATAGATGGATAGTATACAGGGATAATATACGGATAATATCGGGATAATGTAGGGATAGTATAGGGGTAATATACTGGACAATATAGGCAGGTGTGATGTGGTGTGGTGTGCGCAGGCGAGCAAGGACAAAGAATCGCTGAAATCAGCTCGGCCAAAGAAGCCCGCACCTCCTTGTGACATGCCAGCGATGCTCCAGAAGGCGCCATGCTTATCCTCCTTCCTTTTCCTGAATGCATGAAACAGGCCCTTAACCCTAAACCCTCAAACCCTACCCTTGAGACCCTTAACCCCAAAAACCCTTAAACCTTAAACCCTCACACCGTAGATCTGAAACCCGAGAACTCAGGAGATCGAGCTTGGGCCCCATGCCGTGGCCATCGAGGAAGCCTTGAAAAAGCGAAAGCAGGCAATGCTGGAAGAATCACTTACTGGGGGTTCATAAGTATCTATATATGTACAT